TATGAAGTTTCACCTCGGCATTCTGAGAAGTTTCACTGACCTTCGGGCTCTCTCTCTCTTACAAAATGGCATGCAGAAAAACCTTAAAGAACACTTAAACCTCCTTCTAGAATTCGAAGAACGCTCGCGTTATTGTCTTGGCGTTTACCTTTTTTTGCGGCACAATTGAACACAACAGCTGTTCGTTCACGTGATGTCCGGAAGTAATGAGCTCTCGAGTGGTTGCAAGCTGTCTTCTACGTTATATTGTCTCCTACGTTACAAAAATCTGTTGCAAGCTGTCTTCTACGTTACATTGCCATGTAGTTTCATGCCCGATCTGCCTTGTTTCGCTCGATTATCTTGCGAGATAGAAGGATTTCGCTTCGCTCTCTGCGTTTGCGACTGCGGAAGCAGCGATAGCAGTATAGCAGTGATAAGTCCACAAAAGCGTGTATTCCTAACTAGATAACTGCTTGCTCCTGACATTCTCTGTGTTGTTTTTTTTTTTTGAAGAAACAGGTGGGATTAGGAGATAGCATTTGTATGAGAGGTACGGAAGACGGGAAATAAGCTTCTGTCTCACCTATCAACATGTTGTTCTTTGGGGGCCTTTTAAATGACGAAGACCAAAAACTATGAGTTTAGAGCAACCCTCCAGACCGTTGTGGAGATCGTTCATAGCCTACATCGACTAATACGCTGTAGTAGGGCTTACTAATTACCAAGGGGGAAGCTATAGCATTTTCAAAACACCAAAGAGACGGCTACGAAAAAATTTGATCTCGTAAATAAAACTTGGAATCAGAACTTTTTTATGGGACCGAAATGTTTTCTTCCGGCGAAAGCCATATGAGTGAGAGTGATGCAAATCAACGAAGGCCAGGAATGCTTACCACGAAAGCGATATGGTATTGCATTTTGGTTTCGCGCAGCCAATGACTGCATCGCGACTTTTTTTTTGGGGGGGGGGGGGGGGGGGGGGGAGGGGGGACTTTCTTCAGCTTATTGACTGCTACAGCAGCGATTGGCCGTATAAGGATGATGCTCATTGAATGAAGCCAGTGTTTTCAACATCCATGACGAACTTTATCAAGTGAACTACTCCACCAGGTCCGTTCTCGGCGTTATGTCACAGTTAGTGGTTTCAAGTGTGGTTGTTCACGTGTTGTTCATTGCAAAGTAATTATTTTAACTGCCACCACCACAAACTCTTTAGCACAGGTGTCATGATTCAGAATGAGATTGAAACATTGTAGATTAGTGAATTTTTTCAAGTATCGCTGCTAGAGCTTCTGACTTTTTTGTAATCTAATTCTGCATGACGGCATCGAGAAGCGTCAATGCATTAGCGGAACTAAAATTTAATAGTTCTATCCTGTACGATGATGACTGTATGACAACAGATCATCGCCTTTTATTTAACCCTAGGTTTATTAGGCCTCTGCAAGTGCATTTGTCTACCTTTTTTTCACCATCGCTTCTTCCTTTAATTTTTTCGCCCCTTACATGCAGTCATCATTGCGCGCTGTTAGTTCATTTAGTTCTTCTTTTCACTTTTATGTTGTTCGTAACAAAAAAGGCATACCTATCAAGCGCGTTCCTTTCTTCTTGTCGTAAAGACTTCAACTCTTTCGTTACCACACATATTAAAATTGATTACCGGTGGTTGATGCATCAGTTCGTTTCTTTGGTACGTTGAATTTCTTGTACACTTAGCACACCCTAGTTGTTAGTTCAGCCACTTAACTTCCAGAATCGCTCTGAAGGTGCGCAGTTTGGCAACATAATGATTTTTGACAGAACTTTGCGCGGACCAGTGTGCGTCGAAATATACTTGTTTTCACTTTTTTTAGGGTGTATTATTGGAAACATCGCGTAAACGTTTATTATGGTTTAAGCTATTTCTGAGTGACGTTTCTTCAAATTGTGTATTCTGAATTTCCTTTCTTTTCAATAATTTTGAATGCGTTTGTATATTTATTTTGTTTATTGCTGTGTTTTATCAGTCGGTAGCAAGAAAGTACACATTGGGAATGTATTATATATGCAATTATAATTTTCTTGGGGTCAAGATATATTATTATAAAAAGCACTTCAATATGCCTAATTTTGTGTGCCAGCTGCGATCTCGGCTGGTTTCTTTTTTTCAAACGAGCAAAAAATTTCTTACCGACACTTAAGAAAAAGTACTATTTACTCGCAGTAACAAAATACTTTAGCTCATCGCAATTGTTAAGCGTGATGTGGTCATTCTATAGAAGAACGAAGGCGAAACAGTGTGTTGTCTGGGGACCGATTCGTGAGGCCGACTCTGGTGGAGACGGCTGTCACCTTTTTTTAAGGAAACGGTTATCTCTTGGTGAGATAGACATTAGAGTAGTACTTTAGCCAACGTGTGGTAGGGATTGTCGCGTTTGTCCGCTGGATCAACTTGTAAGTCGGTGTAGTGTGGCTGAATCCGGGTCGCACTAGACCAAATTTTTACTGGCGAATAGTCTGATCGCTGTACTGCCTTTCTCGTCTGAGGTCTCAGCAGCGGCGTAATTAAAATGGTTTTCTTGGATGGAGTGGGAGTATGCAAAAATAAGTTTAACGACACTTTGCATCGTAGAAGTAGCGTGTAAGGACATTGGTAACGAAGTCACGAACGCACAGGACGAGTGCTGCTGCAGGGCAGCGCTTGGCTTGAAGCACTCGTCCACACGCATTGTTCCCATCTCCGTCTACGTATTTTCGCGCTTCTTCGGCAACACAGTTCTACAAAGCAGCGCAACATTTCCTCTTGTCGCTCACTTTAGATACATTCGAGTACGATGAAAAAAGTAAAATTTCAAAACTCCGGAATAATACGCGTAGTGGGGTGATGGTGGGCTGGCTACGCCAATGTCTCACAGTTTCGGTTTCCCGAGAAATTCATCCAATCGTAAATTCTAACAATATCGTATGGAAGCCCCTTACTTTTCTTATTTGTTGAACTTTCATCAACCTCTTCACGGACGATATGATTCGTGTTATGACAAAGTTGTGATAATCAAAAGCAAGCTCTTATCCTGGCATATGCTTACCTCATGACGTGCACTACATGACGTGTTGTGCTATCATCAGCTACAAGATTTTTTGAGCAGCCGTCCATCTCCAAAGACTGTGACAGCATTTGGCTATGCCAGGTTATGATACATATTTTATGTGTGGTACAACTATGCGCTATTATCTTGCATTGCAATACCCACATGAGGAATTGAATGAAAGGACGAAAGCAAGCAAGAAAGTTTGCCACAAAAAAGGCATAGAATATAACAGTGATAAGTACAAACCTGAGCAATCAGTATCAATCAATGAATTCTTTTTCGCAGTCAGCCTAGAAAGAAGTCATAGGACAACAGACAGGAGCAACCCGCCCCCATTAGATGTCATAGATTTATTTAACAATCATACAACTTGTTTTGATTCTGTTCGTATTGTGTAATAGAAACTACCTCTACTGGAATTTTAGTTCAGACATTCTGTTTTGAAAAAAAAACTTCAGCTACACCAATAACGACTGTACCCTTTATCTGTTTGCGAAAGCACCTTGCCGTATTATATACTGACGTCCCGGAAGACCACACTGGTGACTATGCTCAGAAATTACGTGTATTGTAGTTAAAGTCATTCACATGCAAAAACTTTTGTGGGAATTATAATGTACATTTTTCGGTTGTTCTCAAGATTCATTTACTTCCACTGCGAAGGAGACACTAAATGTGCAGTTCTGTTTTTTTTACACAACAAAATAATTAAAATACGTCGCGAAATGCTCCGAAAAGTTTTGGACTCCTATGGTATCAGTGCTGCACGGGAACCTCTGTTATCAACTGAATACGTGAAGAATAGGACCAGAAGACGTTCATGGTAGCAATCGAAACGTTAAGAAAGCTAAAAAAAGGCGTAAATATACAATACCGGATTGTTCCACTTTGTTGTTGCGATTCAGTACATTTATTGGTCAAGTTGCTTCTCTGCGTTCGGCGATCGTCAGCACATCGACTGACAATGATATGGCGTTTTGTAACTCTTCATTTGCTCGTAAAATTTATGATGTCCAAGAGAAAACGGCAAAATAAAGAATTGAGAATTGCCATAGCGGAAATTCGGGATGTTTCACAATTTATATCTTTTGCGATTGTTATCCCAATGAACCTTTCATTTTTTATTGCGGGTCTTAGATGCCGCCGTTTTGCCAGCTTACACTACAAATTACGTTCTGAAGCTTGCCATTTTCCCTTATTGTGCGAAAAATACGCACTTGAAAAAGACGGCTCCAGCTTCCTTCCGCATTCGCTTTTTTTAGTTGTCCCTGCGTAGATATAAACTGTTTTCACTAAGATTTGTAAGTCGTATATTGAAATATCAAGTTTTTTATGATCGTGAATAAACTCGTTTTATACCCTGACAATAACAGTTTTGGTCAGGTCATTTATTGTACTGAATTTTCCGTCCCCCTCCTGCATTACCCATGGACTGTCGTTATGGTAGAGTGCAACAGTTCGCGTCACAACAGTTGACAATAAAGATGCTTACTGTCAAATCCTCAACCCCTGCCATGCCTCCTAAACTCGACGCACCCTCGTTGTTTCCCTTTAACTGAGAAACATTCGGAGGTTTCTAAGTTACACCGAGACACACCAAACTAAAATCTCTACGCCCGCACTAGCACAAATCAGTCGGAAGAACACGTTATACCATACACAGTTTTCTTTAAACTCGGGCCATCATGTCGACTCCCTGAGAAATACGAAGTTTTTCTCGGCGTTTTCGCGCTCACACAAACAATGTCGCACTGAAGTACTCAGCGTTCATGTTATAGCGAGATACACAGAAATCTGCAGAGTTCACATCTCTGAAGCACAGTAGGCTTAGCTGAACCACACTTTTTTTTTTTCACAACACCGTGGTGGGAACGCTTCACAGTGTCTCACTGTCTCATTTCAGGTGGCTTGCGCAGCATTTTTTCGGCTTCATTTCTTCTGAACTGCTGGCTACGTGCAGCGTGGCGCCACGTATCGGCTGCCATTTGCGAAACCGCCGGGTGCAACGTTGCCGTTGCTGCTCCTGGAAGATCCCATTGAGTGCATGTTGCTTGCCGCCATGTGGCTGTTGCTGCTGACTGGAGGCGCCGAGCTGGCACCACAGCTTGCTTGTGAATCAGTTCTCAACCTTTGCTCTGAAAATTTGGGAGAAGTGAGACGGGAGGTGAATTGTTGCAGTCTATTGTTTTGATGGTATGTTTCCCGAGACGAAATATGGGAATAAGACTTAGGGGTGACACTGAGTACCACGTGGCTCTTCGGTAATTGCAGTCTGATTGTTGAAAGACTTCACTTAAATACGTTTGTTCAAATAAAGCCTGGGTTTCCGACGAAAATTCGCAAATAAAACAACCCATAATACCAATATTTTGATGCTTTCACAGATGAAACTTCGTTTTAGTGATCGAAGGACGATTTTAGATAAAGATGAATAGGAATTTATGTGTGAATAGAGGAAATTTTCTTGTTCTGAGTCTGGTTATCTATTCCAGACATGCATCGGACATCAGTTGACACATGTTATCTGAATTTCCACGTCACGCAGCTCACTTCCTTACAGATGTCACCAACATGATATGTTTTGATGGTAAAGTACATGTGGTTTGAACATATTAGCCATATCTTGAATATTACTGGTCCAGCTACATATTACAAACGCTTTTCTAGCCAAAGTAACACTGATAACAATTCATCTTAACATACATTGCGCATTTACATGGCACTAAGCATTTTTGTCTCAGAAAACTGTTGAATTCCTAACTAGCTACGATGTTACCGAGCATTCTACTTCAGATGATTAATACTCAGACACTTCTATCCTTACACATTGAATTAACAGGAAGACAGAAAAGCTGTACAGTGCTTGCACTAGTCTTCTGAGCGTTCGTGCAATCACCCTCAGTGCTACTTACCGTCTTTGCTTAGTTTCCGTCTCCTCCATTTTATTAGAAAATATATAAAGACGACTAATATAATGAGTACGAAGAGCAGGCAGATGAGCATAGCTATGAGACCTTCATTGGAGACTAGAAACTCTGAACCTGAAAGAGAAAGATAAATATATTTACAGAAATGATGTTTATTATACTCACGACATGCACTTCTGATTCGCTAGCAAATATGCATCAAAGAAATTGATGCTCTCTAGCTTGAATGGTTACACAATACTAAATGAAATTCAATGTCACGAGGCACCAAAGCTGGTCGCAACACTGTAATATACAAAGCAAACTAACGCAAAATACACGTGGATATTAGGTGCTCAAAGTTTTAGTTCAGCTTAGGGCAAAATATTTCAGAAAGATAATCACAAACAATGTAATAACAATATTTTACTCAAATGAAGACGTAGGCTTTAGAAACGAATATGCTTCAATGTATAATAACTGTGGTATTAATGAAGAAAACAAGCATTCTGCTCTGCACAACAGATTATTTATAGAGTTTTCATGAAGTACAAAATAGTGGCCTACATACAGATGTGTGTGAAGTTTGAAGACTATAGTGCATTTAAAACACACGTGATTATCTTAGCAACAACTACAATTATTCTAGAATTACAATCATTCTACACTTGCCAAGCGAGTTGATCAATATACAAAAAGCTGAGGCAATGAGAGACGATCTCTCTGGTGTTCCACTCCACGCTGACATTTGTTCGAATCACTAGTTTGGGCAGAAAGAGAAAGAAATGTTAACAAAGAATATTGCTGGGCTCATGGCCCGCAAATTATTTATTTCGTCTCAGCAACCATGGCAAAATATTGTTATAAAGATGATTGAGTACCTAAAGCGAGAAAGTGAAAAGGGAAAGACAGAGACATGAACAATGGTTTATAGAAGATGCGAAGGGTAACAAGTGGAAATTTGGTTGACTACTCTGTACTTCAAAAGACGAAAGCGTTGACTGAAAGAAGGAAAGAGGGTAAGAGAGTCTGTAGAGAAACTTCAGAGTCATGACAGAGCCAATGTTCAAAAGAAATAAACTATCATAGCCAGTCGACCGTAACAAGGTGCTTTCCAGTCTGCTTCCCTAAAAAAATCGCAGCACCAACCTCAAAGCTGCTTACATTGATGAAATCCGGGTTGGCCTGACCCCCAGAATTTTTTTCATGGAAATAGTGGCTCTGTGGCTGGCGTAATTGGATTGAGAGGGATGCTCCTTGGATGTTTAAGGGGGCTTTACTCGCAGAGAAGGTGCGTGATGGTTTCAGTGGATCCGCAAAGTTCGGCCATTACAATAGCGAATGGAAGTTCAGCCATTACAATAGCGAATGGATATGTATTTAAAAATTCTTAGGTAACCCATAAACAGACTAGCAGAATTTGACCGTGATAAGTTGGACTAGGTTTGTATTTAAAGATCAGGATCTAAGTTATGAACGCGACAACTTGTACAAATAGGAGAGTGGTTAATGATGCAGAAGTGCAAGATACCATTGTAGCTCTTGAAAAAGAGGTGGTGGCGCAGTTGATCAGGTTGTTACTGATGTTCATTACTGATGTTCATAAATAGTCGCCGTAGATAGTTACTCCTTGAAACGGCTCTTGAGGGCATTGCTGTGTATAGCCGCTTTGTTAACCATGTAAATACAACAAGTTTCGGGTTCACACGCTGTCCCACGTCACCTTGGTGTATCGATGATGAAACTAAGTTCCAACGGCAAGGCACTTGTGGCATTTGTAATTAATGTGCGCTCTTTTATCTCCTCTAAGCTCCACCTTGATGCACTTCCTGTACAGAGCACGTAATTGTAATGCAGTGTGTGTCGATGAATATGCTAGACCAGAGTACCCGGCTGGGCATAGCGAAGGCTCATTGTCCTAGAAGGAAGTGCGCCGGAGATAAAGGCGCTCATTTCTCGTAGTCAACATCCAGCTACGACAGGGATCAGGTGTTAATGAACGCTTTACCCACGCATAATGTTGTCATGAGGTTTTCTTATCTAGACTGCTACGCCTTGAGGTCAGCTCAAAGCATCTGTGTTGGATTGAATGAGGCGTTTTAACCGCTCGTCTCTTGAAGCCGCTCGTTCTGTAATAAATTTGCACTGCCACCTTTTGGTGGTGACACACTGCTGTAGAGAAGGGACAGTACCACGAAGTTTTGTGCTCATGTGCCACGCTAGAACGTGGTCTATGTACATCCCTGCCGGAGCCCAACAAACGGGTGAAAAGCAAGATCCGTGGTTTCCGCTGCCACAAAGGATGAAAGCTCGAGGAAGACAGCACGTGGCATGGCGGACAAAAATTTGAGTGTGCAGGACTTGTTTGACCTTGCAGTGGTGTGAACGTAAAAAAGCCAAAAGTATCTGACGCCAACTGCAATGCTGGAGCATCTTATTCACTTTAGTGGGGATGCTGCTGTTGACACACATACTGCTGTCAATCATCTTTCTTGCAAGGTAACTGTTACATAATAATGGTACATAAAATTTTCCTTCCCTCCCGCATAAATAATCTCGCTTGGAGTTATGCCAGCACGACCTCAGTACGATCATGACTAGTGTGGGCTTGAGTATCTTTAACAAGTGACAATGTGAAGAAAGGATCCCATGTAGAATTACAACAGTGGCGTTGACTTGACGAAGCCCCCAACAAATTCGAAGTAGTCCTTCATTCAATTAGCAAATCAATTTCTGCTTTGAAGGACTGGGCTATTGTGACTCGTAGCCAGTTCGATTCAGCCACTTGAAGGTTTCAAACTCTTAAGGACCCCACTAGGAAAAGAGCTGCTTCTCGACAAGTTGAATGTGAAACGCGCTGAGTCTTTAACTGCAGCTTACGCTAAATTGTCATCAATACCTTTTACGTCGAAGCTACTGCTGTGAAGCTATGTAGGTGTTTTCGATGATGAACAAGGATGATTATGCAAATCACATTGTCTTTGGGAGAGCTGCCAGTGCCGGATGCCTGCCATAGCTTCTGAATCTACGTTTTATTATCGTTTCCAGAACACCATCCTTTCCATAACATTTCCTATGAAGCTTCTCAGAGCAATGATATAGTACGATAATGCACCTAGGGGTGATTTTCTGGTTTTCATGAATGATGATAGTTCATTCACTTTTATAAACATGGAAAAGGGATAGCTGGGAAAAAAGAGCTGAAAGCAGTTTGAAATGTGATCGGGATACATAGACAAGGATAGCTAACAGAAACGCTTGTCCGTGTCTTAGCTGTCCCTGTCCACGTAAGGCGCTCGTGTTTCAAACCATCATTATTCGCCAACTTGCCCAATACACCATTCTGAAACCAGGTTGACTAGCTCCAAACTAGCAGAAGTACACTTTAGAAAGCAACTGTGATGCGCACCATCAAAATTATTAAACAAAACGTACATCCTGACGTTGTATGACATGTTTCGAACTTACGAGAGCTAAAATTCAACTTCACAATAGCAACATTACCGTATGTGAAGCGTAATCTATTTTCCATTTTTGCTGACCATACCTGCGGCCACGACGACAAACACGCAGGGTTGCCTCTGGTCACCTATTTGGTTCCGTGCCCAACAGAGCAGTGTGCCATAGTCTTGGTGCGAACGAACAACGTAGCGGGCCAGGCTTCGTGTGCCCTCCCAGCTGTATGTGTCTAATCTGGAACTCTGGTGCATCGAATTGTTGAATCGCCAGCGGAAGGTTACAGATGGTGGCTGTGCCTGCACGTCACATGACACTTGCAGCGTCTTCGATAGCCGCGTCGCGTACACCATCCGCTGTCCTGACTTGCAAACTGGAGCATCTGCGTGGAGCAGTGGTAAAAGTGTGAACACAAATGTGTTGTTAGATTCACACCTCCTTCCTTTTGATATTGGTAACATTCAACAGAAGGTAGCAGAGCTAGTCTAAGTGACTAAAATAAAGGGTTAACAACAGTGATCAGCTGAATTCATTACAAAAAAAAAGTATTGCACAGGCAAGTAATATACTGTGAACCACTACGAACAGTCCAAAGTAGCTCCACTTTTCCAAAAAGCTTGATATCCGTGATTAATTCCTCATTATATTTTTGTCCAGTGTGATACAATGATAAGGAAATATAAGTAAATGACAAAGCGAATGAAGGGTGCATAAGCATTTGAGCAGAAGCAAGTGGCTGGTCAGTTTGCACGAGGTGTGTGCAAAGTGCTAGCTCATATTTTCAGGAGACATGATAAATATATCTTCTTCTACCTGTCGAGAAGAAAGAATTTATAAGATGCAATGAATGTGTGCAAAATGCTTCATGTGGAATATATTTAGTGGAACAAATTATTCTGTGCATTGGACGCTAGACGCTATATGGGGCTCATCAAAATGTACCTTTGGGCTAGTTTGTTCATGCCTACAGTAAAACAGCAGAAGCAAAAACAGTCTACACAAAGCGCCTTAGGTATCTCATCCTCATCTGGTCTGTCATTTTCGCTGGTGCTATTTTTATTTCTGTATGCAAGTGCAAATGTTAATTTCGCGTATTATTTAATACAATTTTTGTAACTGCTTGTTGTCTCCTAATGTAAAACGCCTACCATTACCTTTGCAAAAAAATTTAAACATTAATAATATTGACGTAAGGCCCATACTACAGCTACAAAGCTCACGCACCACCAGGCATTTTCCAGTATGTAATCTCTAAGACAAGCCCCGCTGCGGTGGTCTAGTAGCTAAGGTACTGGGCTGCTGACCCGCAGGTCGCAGGATCGAATCCCGGCTTCGGCGGCTGCATTTTTAATGGAGGCGAAAATGTTGTAGGCTCGTGTGCTCAAATGTGGGTGCACGTTAAAAAGCCCCAAGTCATTGTACAAAGTGTCGACTCGGGTTCAATACGATAGTCTGGAGCTTGGAATCCCCACGATTATCGATGTCGCGAATTTTTTTTTGCTTCGATCGACCTTTTTGCAGAACAGTGATTCTGAAACGAACGCCGTTCCAAGCAGCACTGCACAGGTGCCCGAGGATGCACGCATCAGTCATGTTCGCTCGTGTGCCTCAGCAATATTGGGGTGTTTTGGCGTGCAAAGCATTCAGGTATACGCAGAGAGATCAATGCAATATAGCTGTCGCGAAGGAGCATAAGTGGAGAAATAGAATACGTTTTCTGCTTGCCAGGTTCTTATTGCGGCTACAGGTGGTCCCACCTATCCAGCCTCTCACGGTCAACACGGTATTAATACTTTTATGTGGACGCAAAGTCTACAGGTGAACTAAAATTCAACGATACCTGCGTGTTACTTGTTAGCGATGATATCTGACTGTGCGCTGTTCCATTTTTGATAGCTTGTGGTCGTGTTGATGTGTAAAATATACGTGATATGAAAAGACACCCTCATTGCGCTTTTTCCGTGCTTCGAACTAGACTACTGCAACTCACCCGCAACTCACAACATTTCCCACACATGCTGACTGACAAGCACGCGTTTAATCATGCTCTTTTCTTTGATTTGATTGATATGTGGGGTTTGACGTCTCGAAACCACCATATGATTATGAGAGACGCCGTAGTGGAGGGCTCCGGAAATTTCGACCACCTGGGGTTCTTTAACGTGCGCCCAAATCTGAGCACACGGGCCTACATGCTCTTTTCCTTCACCGTTCTGCTAAAGGTGGTTTTTGTCTTGATAATTTAACGAAATGATTCAAAACGGTGCGACGAAGATTAGACGCGACGAGCGAGTGCGTTTCTGCGCTTCGGCGCTAGTCGGCACCACGAAAAGAACACACGGATCGTACACGTCATCGCTACTAGGGCATCGTCACTCAGGACGGTATTTGTGGAATGTATCACACCGAACACGTAGCACTAGTTTCGACGTCACAGGGCAGTCTATTTTCCGTTTTGAAGACGATAGTTTTTCATGGGGACCTTCGACGCGAAAATTTTGGTCTGTCTGTGATTGATTGATTTGTGGGGTTTAACGTCCCAAAACCACCATATGTATATGAGAGACGCCGTAGTGGAGGGCTCCGGAAATTTTGACCACCTGGGCTTCTTTAACGTGCACCCAAATCTGAGCACACGGGCCTACAACATTTCCGCCTCCATCGGAAATGCAGCCGCCGCAGCCGGGATTCAAACCCGCGACCTGCGGGTCAGCAGCCGAGTACCTTAGCCACTAGACCACCACGGCGGGGCTTTGGTCTGTCTGTCTTCGTGTACATTTGTCTGTTTGTCCATTCTTAACAACATAGGGTACTTGAAACGGCCGACCCCATCCGCAGCGCCCACCTATGTTGCTCAAAAATTCAGCGTTCATACTAGTGCAATTGTTGATTAAAAAGCAAATATTGCGCATGTCTGGGCCACCATAACAACACGAATATATGCAGCACAAGTGCATTTTACTAGAAAAGGCATACATAAGTAATTTTAAGGACCATAGCGCTTATCACGCTGCGCTGACCATCCAATGCTTTCACGGAAAGGCGATGTTTCCAACGCTTTGCTAACACGAGACGGTGGTGGCACCTACCCGTCGCCTTGCGTTCCACACCTTATCACCTCTGAGGAGGGCGCGCACACCCGTCTCAAAGCCACATGCTTTGTTTTTGAAAAAAAAACTGCCAGATTGCGCTCATGTCTCACGTGTGAAGTGACTTGATGCGCTAGTTCGCCTCCGCTGCACGCTCGAGGCACTTTAACGCAGCGCCTTCAGAATGCCAATCACCGATTTTCTTGAGCAGAACATCAAATAAATGTTTTGTTCATTCTCTCCACACGCAAGACTATCGTCTTTCGACGACAATTTCAGATAAATGCAGATACGGGGCCAATTTTTTTCTCCTTAGCTTTTCTACGCTGTTTGGCATCAAATTAAAATAACTTCCACGCGACGGATGCCAATCAAATTTGGCCAAGAACACGCATGCATACCAAGCGATAGAATGATGGGCACATCACGATCTTGAAATTTGATGTCAGTGCTTCTTTATATCCCACATATCAATGACTCATTTATATATAAGACGAGTAGTAACCCAATAGGCTGCACACAAGAAGTGCTATATACGAAGTCCTGGCATATTCAACTACGTGTGATCCCGTAGACTGCTATTGCTCCCAGCACTTCTCTAGAGCCTCTTCTTGTGAGTTCTTGTAATGTATGCCACCACAATTTCAAATACGCAAGGGAACGTAGTAACATAGGAACCGCCACAAAACTTACGCATCCAAGCCTTACTATAAAGAAGTAAGAAAAAATATAGCAATCCGTTTAGAAAGTAGGTGTATCAGCATTTTATTCTACATTTTATTCCCACAGCCCCGTCGATGAGAATACTGTTTGTTACACAATTCGATAAAAAATGTCCGGGAAAGCACCTTTTCTTTCTCATTCTTCATGAATCGTATGTTATTTTCATGCGTGCCATATCAATTACCTTTCACTTTATATCACATTGTTCTCCTCCTTCATCGTTGAAGGCAAGAAAGAATACCATTGGCTTAGATGAAGGCTGATAAGCAAATAACCTGCTGTGCGATCAAGAAAGACACCCTCTACAAGCCTTCGCGCCAGTCACATTTCTAGCTGAACGACTTCACGTTGTTAAGAGACCAACATTTACTCTGCACCCCTCGACCATTTGAAGCAGGCGTGCTCAGCCTGAAGTTCACAGCGGGCTACATGCGGGCCACATGGTAGCATTAAGGCCGGTTCACGCTAGCGACAAGCCTGCCATAACGGCACAGTGTCGTAGACCGCCGGCACCACCATTCACCTGAGAGCTGTTCAAAGTGACGGCAAGCTCTGTCGGCAACGCGTTTCACCCTACAACCTTCCGCCCGCCCTTCCGAATGCAGTTGTCGACCACCTCTAATATATCAAGCGGCCGCCGTGGGCTCTGTAGCTCGTAAGCTGTGAATTGGTGCTTCCATTCGTTCTGGACTCGTGTCTTTTAGCTTCGACAACGCCTTACTGGAGTCGATTCGGCACCGGTTTTGCGAGCCATATTCAAATAATGGATATTTTAGCCTTAAGCAAGCCTCTCTGAATCCCGGAAGGCATACATTACACGTTTATTAGTTGTTACTAATGCTGGATAGCTGGCGCCACTTGTCCTAACACCTGCACCATCACGGTGGTCTAATGGCTAAGGTACTTCGCTGCTGACCCGCAGGTCGCATGATCAAACCCCGGCTGTAGCGGCTCCCTTTCCAATGGAGGCGGAAATGTTGTAGGCCCGTGTGCTTAGATTTGGGCGCACGTTAAAGAACCCCCAGTGGTTGAAATCTCTGGAGCCCTCCACTACAGCGTCTCTCATGGTTATATGGTGGTTTTGGGATGTTAAACCCCACTAGTCAATTGTTATTGTCCTAATGCCTGTTTTGGGAGACATCATTTTGAATGGCTGGGCGCTTTTTTGAATACTGGAAGGGTGTAAATGCTCTATTCACTGCTGGAACAGTCTGGGAACAAGACGTACGACATAGCGTGAAAACCACGTAGCAGGAAGCAAGGAGCTCAAAGTGTCCCGCGGCAGACACAGATGACGCGGCTCAGCCATGTCGTCACTCCATGCCTGATTATATACGGTGCTCTGCAACAAACGGGAAACGGCGCTAAAATGTGTCTCGGACCCATTATTTGAACGGCAAAAAACGGCAGACGTGTGCAAAGCTAATGTCTGCGCCCGGCTGCCTGAGAACGCCAAACGTCAAACGTCGAGGCATGCTTGCCGCTAGCATGAACCGGCCCTTGAACAGCCCCCAGACAACGACAGAACACCCGCCCCTATAGTGGTGTCCTTCCCTATATGATGACTGTTTTGACCTGAGATTGTGCTCGAGCTTGTAAATTTTATACTGCAACTTTCTGAGTTGCATGCTGAAAATAAATGTGACTGTTATTTTAGCTATTTTTACACTATTTCAAACTTCAATTCGTAAACCTTTCTCTGCCCCTCCCCCTACATCTTTTAATTGGTCATGTAGCCCCCAACATCTCGTCTTCCCATAAGTTGGCACTCCACCACAAATGGTTACCGACCCTTTGTTCTTAAGCAAGATAGCCATAGAACTCATTTATCATGCGAGCCCTGTAAATTGTGCTTCTTGCATAGTCGCTATTGCAAGTGGTTTGTTTTTAGGTGGTTAGTTCAGTGATATTTCCGACAACCATGCAATCTTCTTTTTTGTCTTTGTGTGTAAGTGCAATCACGACGTTTCACTAATATTATGCTACTTAGTGCTTGAGAGCGGGGACGCGGGGAAGATATTGAAGATGTTTGTGAATGTCGGCAAGCAAAATAAAGGAAGCAGCAGCTGAAACCTTACTCATGTGCTAGTAAGAGGTGCTGGCATCCGAACCATATCCAGTCACTCAGTTTTAGCCTCTTTTATAGCAACAATATCTGTGTAACTTTCTGTAATTATAACAGTTTGGTGGTGGCTTTCAAGCTTGTTTAAAGAAATATTACTCCTGAAGTTTGTATTCACAAAAAAAAACGTATTGGCGTCATATTACTTAGAAAAGAAACGTTCGACGACTACTGATCCTGTAAATATAAGTAGCAAAGCCGTCTAGCCAATAGCAACAACTATATAGGAACAATGAGCTTTGTGAATTTAGCTGTTGGTTCATAAGCACTATTGTTTCTGTTAGTGTAAAAATGTTTTGAAAAAAGTGAATAAAAGATTCCAAAGCGTCAGTCTAGAATATACAACTGTTAGGCAGAGTCACTCGGGGTTATGAATTGCTACATCACTAAACAATTTCACTGCGCATGCTCTATTGAAAGGTGCGAGAAGCGCGGTTATTCTAGTGTAAAATTTGACCTGCATTCATTTGTAGACTTTGGCCCACGTCGTTTCTTATAGAATCAAGTCCATAAATTGAAGTGGAGTTTACGAGAGGCGAAAAAGTACCATGATTCCCTGTTCAACCATGAACGACTAAGAACTGGCGCAGCTTACCACGTTTCTAGGTGACTTACGCTTCAGTCGCAGCTGTATGACGTTGCTGAGGCCCCTGCCCTCCCGGTTGGAAGCCGAGCAGGTATAGTTGCCAACATGCATGAGCGTCGCTTTCTGTATGCTCAGAGCCTCGCGATGCACTGTGACGCCATCCCTGGCTGGTGCGATAGGTCGGCCATCTCGTTGCCAGAGAAGCTCCCTTATTCCCGGGTTGGCATCCACGCTACAGCCAAGGTTTATGTCCATGCCTTCCTGCAGTCGATCGGGACCGAGATTCGGGTCCATCTGGAGTCGCAGCTTGGGACGGTCTGCAAATCGGTTGGGTGGTGGTTACCAAAAAAGTGTGGTTTTCGAATCATTGATTGAAGAAGTTATTTTGAATCAATTATTCAAATTGCGTTAGTTTGGGTAATGTGCTCAAGCGCAATAAACATGTGAGTGCTAACAACACCACCCAGTATGTTGTCTCTCATGATTTCTTCATTAGATAGTACAAAAAGTGCAGAAGTTCGAATCCCCCTATTTTACTCATGGAATAACTTAGCCTCTAATTCATTTTAGGCCAATGACACTAATCATACGTCATGACCTATATGTCAATATTTGTGTGCTTTATGTAGTTCTCCAATCTATGAAACAACGCACAAATGTAGTTTAAGTAAAAAAGTGTTGCGAAATTTTCGTTCTTCGATAATTCACTACGTAACAATGGCGTGATGCTATGGTAAGACTAACAATATAAACGTTATAAAATAGAATACTATATCTGAGTTGGCAAGTGCGCAATCGGTGGTGTCATGTATGCAGTATTGTTGTGAGAGAAGCGTGCACTAATATGTGAATACGATTTAGGCTTCAATATTTTTCTAAAGCATGGCAACAAAACTTGAAGAAATACTCAGAAAAGAGGTTTCGGGGCTACTCACAGTGCACGTTGAGATCCCACTGGTCTTCCCTCACTGATCCAGGCATCCTCTTGTTCTCGGCGCGGCACACAAGCGTCTCGCCATTGTCACTGTGCGTGGGCGTGAACTCAACCACGCTCGTCGTAAGGTTGCCATCCTGCGAGACGTGCATGAAGGCCTGCTCAAGCTGAGCGCTGTTTTTCCACCAGCTGATGTCCGGAGGTGGCCGAGATCCCCACACCTCACAGAGGATCTCGGCCGGAAGACCAGCAGAAATGGGCGTTTCCGTGCGCCGTATCTGCACCACCGTCGGTGACACTGGGCCGATGCGAGAGAAAAAAAGAAGTGAGATTATAACTATGAGGCATTCTACCTTCAGAGGTGCTGTGCCAAAAACTTGTGCCGCTATTATCTCAAGCATGGCCGCATATTGAACGCCTCCTGAAGATCTCCCACATGAGTGCAGTAAACATTCTCAAACATTTCGATTCCGCAGGCCTTTAAGAAACGCTCAACTAATATGAAGTGAGGTCAGGTATCCCAAAATTAGATGCACCAGCTTGAATATATCCCTTAGATAATACATACAGCCATCTGTGATATTCAACGCACCAATTCAAACACATCAGAAATTCAGGTTTATGATGGCCTTTATGTCGTAACCATTCCGGGCCCAGTTTAATAAGCTGAGGTTTGGGAACCGAACTTTTTCAATGGCATGCCCACAGCTGTACATTTATTCATCTTATACAGTGTTCATTATTCTTGTTTTACATTTCACGCCATCAAACACTCTAATATTGCGGAAAGAAGTTAAGGCAGTTTCTAGGGCAGGGATGGTGCAATATTGATAAAATAATAAACGCAGCAGCCATGCGCATACACACGTCTCCCTATCTGGAGATCGTTGCGATGCCACTTTTCAAGAACAGCTGCTTAAAGATCGGGAAGTAATACGAAGAAATGACCTCACACGATAACATTTTACTCTTACGTTCATGAAACAGACATATGCACAAACTAACTCCTCTCTCGTCCTGATACAACCAAGAAAGTGTTCATATTACGGTTCATGTCAAGCGTGATGGTGGCTTCCCCCTGGATGGAGACGTTATTGGAGGACACGCACGAGTAGACCGCCATCAAGTCCTGGCGGCGCAGGTTGTGCATCGTCAACGTCGAGCGGCGCACGTCACCCGAAGCCGTCGCCATGGCGTTGGCATAGACGGGCTCCCCGTTGCGCCGCCATGTCAACGTTGGCGCCGGTTTGCCTGGTTCACCAAGACCACCAAGAAGAATGCACCAGGAGTAACCAGTCCAGTGCCCACGGCATGAAAATAAAAGTGCAAAAACACTTATAGGACAAGTTAGCCATAGGATCTTGAAATTACAAGCACTTTTTTTATTCTTGCCAGCACATATCTACAAGCCTGCCACCATGCAATCCCATGTAATCATAGCTGGTCGAAGTAAACAGCGCAAAAAACTGCCGGGACTGCGGGTGCTCTGCATATTTTTTTTTCTTGAACGAAGGTTCTTTTCCGCCACTGCGACCAGCTGACAGGAAAATATTTGAGGCCCACAGATTTCAAACGACGCCGGATAAAACTGTGACAGTCAGTAATCAGTTGCCCTCCATGACAATGATATGATGATTTTTAGATTAATGTATTGGCTAACGTTGTTAAGATGAGTTGCCTCATGTCTACACAGAAGTGTTTCCTTTCTTCTCTTATGAGAGCTTGTGCAAAAACAAGTTATATGTTCGGTGTTTCTTAATTGAATTTCTGAGTTTAAACTCAACGCTCACGTAGTGTCCTTTCTTTACTTTGTTTTTTTTTTGCACTGTCTTACTCAATCAGCTGTGAATCATTACGAAATTGACCAGTTTTCAATATTGATCTAACCCTTAAAAGTCATGTTTGTCACAAGTTCACGCATGACATCCCTATAACAATAAAATATAACTTACCGTTATGTGATGTTTCCTCGAAGGCACAATAGAACGCGCTATACTAGCGAATAACATCGCCAAAGAAGCAACCCCAGCAACTTCGCTGTTCGACTTGAGGACGGAGACTATTCAGTAAAAAAAAAAAGGCAGACCCCACGTACAATGGGAATCAATGATACGCGAAGCACGAATGATAAATGGTAATGTTTCACTTTAAACTCAGCACAACGTTGCTAGACGGGCTTGAGTGATGCCATAGAACACTTCTATACTATGATTATCCTGCGTGGACGTGTCAGTTACCTTAGTTGAATATTCACGTCCCGTCGTGCCAAATTGGTATATAGGGAGCTAACAAAACGACTGTGAGTGCGCTATGTGCGTAGCTTGTAGCCTTGTTTTACATGACATGCCTGTCATGATTATCCTGTTTGGATGTGTCATTTACCTTCGTCGTTCAATCACATCACGCAGTAACAAGTTTAGTATAAGTAAAGCTAGCGAAACAGCCGCAAGCGCACCTTGAGCGTGGCATGTAGTCCTGAGTCAAGACTTACATGACACGATTTTCATGTTAGCGTCTGTCAATTGTGTTCGCTATGCAGGCATGTCATACCATACCAACCTTGCAAAATGTAATATGACCGAAACCACCACAAAAGCAGCAAGCCCATGAAATGTAAATGATGACTTTCATAACAGCCATGTCATTACTTTCAAATTATGACTAGTCGCTTACAATCGTCATGCAGTCATGCTATGCCAATGAAGTTTGGTATTGATACCATTATCCAAAGAGTCAGGACACCTAAATGTCATAGGTGGCTAGATAGATAGATAGATAGATAGATAGATAGATAGATAGATAGATAGATAGATAGATAGATAGATAGATAGATAGATAGATAGATAGATAGATAGATAGATAGATAGATAGATAGATAGATAGATAGATAGAGATTTTAAAACACTTCTCTGAGGCAGTGGCTCGTTATCTCTATGTTATCTACAAAAAATCACTCAATGAAGGCAAGCTTGCTGATGACTTAATGATAGCTAATGTTGTGTCTATTTTCAAAAGTGGTTCTAAATTAGATGTATCAAATTACAGGCCAATTTTTCTGACACCGATTTGTTGTAAAGTACTTGAACATGTTCTTTTTTCTGCTTTAATGAATCACCTGATTACAATCAAGTTTTTTAATCTCAAACAACACAGATTTAGACAGGGTTTTTCATGTACAACCCAGTAATTCAATTCTATCACAATATATCACCTGTTTTAGATAATGCAGGAGAGATTGATTTTTTTTTTTTATTTTTCGACTTCAGAAAGGCCCTCGATACAGTATCATACTCGATTCTGAGTCAAGAACTGCAGAACTTGAACATTCATTAAACTATTTGCCGATGGATTGTGGACCATTTAACTTCAAGAATACAGAAGGTTGATGTAGGTGGATCATGTTCATGTTTAGATTCGGTGACATCAGGGGTACCTCAGGGTTTTGTACTCGGCCCACTTCTCTTTGTGTTTAATAATGACATTTCGGATAAATTTAGGGGTCGTACTAGAATTTTTCCTGATCACTGTGTGTTGTATACCGAACTGACCGACCAAACGGATTCCACCCAGCTTCAGGATGACCTTAATCACGCGGAGGTAAGGTGTAAAAATAATGGTATGATACTAAATACTAATAAATGCGTTCACATCAGTTTCACCAAAAGGGCCAATAGGTTTACAAATCAGTACATCCTAAACAATGAAGTTATTAGGAAAGAACATAAATACAAGTGCTTGGGTGTCACATTTTCTGAGGATGGGGGATGGTCTGAACACATTTCCAGTGTTCTCAGCAGAACTGGAAAAGCCCTAGGCTTTTTAGAAAGAAATCTTAAGCTTGTAACCAAGGAGGTTAACCAGGCCGCATATTACGCTTATGTCAGGCCAATACTGGAATGGGCCTGTCCTGTGTGGGATCCGTTTCACAAAGTACACATCCATGCACTAGAGTACACATCCATGCACACATTCATGCACAAGATTGAAACTACTTTATTTGATCTATAACAAGAAAACAGGCATTCATCCTTCAAAATAATAAAAACCAGAATATGTTACTAGCTGATTTAGTTGGCCGATAGATTGCGGATTAATTCTGTGAGGCACTGTGCTCCCCGCAATAATGCCTAAGATGACGCTGCGGGTAATCTTAAAAATAAAAAAAAAACAGATAATGTCAAAGTTGCCGAAGTTCGCTAAGAAATGCTTCGCATTTAATAGGCACAAGTTATTACAAAAACACAGTGAACTTTATATTATATTATCAGTGCAGCATGACTCATAAGTCATATATTGAGGTGCCTGCTGTTCGTATGCATAAAAAGTTTACTTTAGTGAAAGCCTCGTTCTAACCACAGCTTTCACAGCCAAGTTGAATGTTCACTGTGCGAGCATATGCAGTTTTTTTTGCACTGCGCTGAAGAAACTAGCCTGCAAGCAACCATTTGCTGAAAAGAATATTCTTGGATTGTTGCTCTACGCTACACAGACATTCAAAGTGGTTCGGCTTTTGAGGCTGTTTTTAGTATGAATCTGATTACGCCATTGGTAGTAAGAGCGCAATGAGCAGGTGCTTGTACACCCTGACTGTGCTTTCTTCCCCCTTCTTTCTTTTGTTCACTTCATCCCTTCTTTCAGCGTAGTGGAGCGAGCCAAACACGGCTATTTAATACCTCCCTGTTCTTTATCCAGTTTTATTCGGCTCCTGCTTAAACTTAGGTGTTTCAGACATACATTTGTTGTTTCGCCCTCTCGTAAAAGCATACGGTCATGCTATTACACGTTCAAAAAAGAAACTGTATCATTGTAGCACATCAATCAATCTACATCCCCGGAGATAATTAGGCAATTCTAAATAGGCATCAGCAAAAGTACAAGGAATTCCTAATAGTTTGGTGTTCCTTATGGTTTCTTGCAAACCTCATCATCAGATTTCAGAGCGAGTCATCCTCTTGCAGACTAGTCTGTATGCGCCGATATAACAGAGGCTCAATTCGTATCTGCGATGTATTGCGTACCAAGTGGTGAGGCTGTGGAACATGACAACATTAGGGTAAGCACCCTAAAACGGCAACACCCTCAGAAGGTACGTACACATATCAAGCCCACGTCAAGAAGCGATCTCCTATGTATTCATTTATATTGGTGCCTACCCTTGCCATTAGTTACAGCAATACTGGCACAATTTTGCAGTGGTGCTCAGGCCATTACGAGAAGAACATTACGTATAAAGCGATGCTGATCAGCTCTGAACCTAATGTAAGAACGAGCTGTAAAACCATGTTGTTCTCGTTCTTTTTTCGAACTTCTGTCTTCAGAATCCTTTCAAATCTCCTCATAATCGTGTCTGTCTTGATAGCACCGATTTTGAAGCAGACATATCAAAAAGGGGCATTTTGAAATCTCCATGTTGTCACCGAGGTCCCGCGCAGATGAAATGCGTGGAGTGCAGGGGACGTAAAACTGCATCCTGCCACTCAAACGAAGTACACAGATTCCACAATTCTTTGGGGAGGAATTGAGCAAGCGGCAGAAAATCGCCTTTTCATTCAGCAACAATCGCAGCTCGACGAACATTGGAAACCGGCAGAAGGTATTTGTTCACGAAGACGCGGGGTGTGTGGGTCTTTTTTAGATATATTTCAAAGTAGCCGCCTCGAGCTCAGCCCTCCCTGTCACGGCACCGCACGCCCTTCCCTTCGATCCACGGCTTGTTTGCGCGCCGCGTTTTCGTCGTTGCGTCCGCGAGCTGTCGTGTCAATACATAATGCGTTGCGAACCTGGGAGACATCAATTTTCGCGTCGTCCGAGCACACGCCGGCACCCGCCATGGACGCTCTTTCAAGGCACTTGTGGATACAGCGTGTGCAAGCAGATCGCGGCCTCGTGTGGATTGGCAGCGGGGCGACCGTTGCAGGCAAGTGTTTCTGTCAATAATGGTGCGCATAGCCGACTATTGCGATCCGTATTCGATAAATCAAAGTGTGTGGCCACGTCATCGTATTCTTTTCACCACGCTCACCTGCCGCTCATCCGCGCCCAGAACCACGTATGGTTAGTGTTTCGAAAACGCATTCACTACGCAAGCTCAATTTATGAGCGCCAACGTAAATTGAGTTATTACGTCGGGAGGCGTATGTGTAATTTTTTTGAAGCTAACACAACTTAGTTGCGTATTCTACTAACGCATTCTTAAGTTTTAATTATCTCCCTTTTTAATGAGATCCAATACAGTAACTATGTTAGCTAGT